CCTAACAACCCAGAACTACAATGACAACCTGACAACCTAACAACCCAGAACTACAATGATAACCTGACAACACAGAACTACAATGGCAACCTGGCAACCTAACAACCCAGAACTACAATGACAACCTGACAACCTAACAACCCAGAACTATAATGATAACCTGACAAAACAGAACTACAATGACAACCTGACAACACAGAACTACAATGACAACCTGACAACCTAACAAAACCAGAACTACAATGATAACCTGACAACCCAGAACTACAATGGCAACCTGACAACCTAACAACCCAGAACTACAATGACAACCTGACAACCTAACAACCCAGAACTATAATGATAACCTGACAAAACAGAACTACAATGACAACCTGACAACACAGAACTACAATGACATCCTGACAACCTAACAACCCAGAACTACAATGACAACCTGACAACCTAACAAACCAGAACTAAAATGATAATCTGACAACCCAGAACTACAATGACAACCTGACAACCTAACAAACCAGAACTACAATGATAATCTGACAACCCAGAACTACAATGGCAACCTGACAACCTAACAACCCAGAACTACAATGATAACCTGACAACCCAGAACTACAATGACAACCTGACAACCTAACAAACCAGAACTACAATGATAACCTGACAACCCAGAACTACAATGGCCACCTGACAACCTAACAACCTAGACCTACAATGATAACCTGACAACCCAGAACTACAATGACAACCGGACAACCGGACAACCTAACAACACAGAACTACAATAACAACCTAACAACCCAGAGCTACAATGACAACCTGACAACCCAGAACTTCAATGACAACCTGACAACCTAACAACCTAGACCTACAATGATAACCTGACAACCCAGAACTACAATGACAACCGGACAACCGGACAACCTAACAAACCAGAACTACAATGATAACCTGATAACCCAGAACTACAATGACAACCTGACAACCTAACAACCCAGAACTACAATGACAACCTGACAACCCAGAACTACAATGACATCCTGACAATCTAACAACCCAGAACTACAATGATAACCTGACAACCCAGAAATCTACCTGGGCACACGAACAACCGCACAAATGACCTAGATGAAATGAAATCCCTATCAACCCTAAACTGGTAACACAATAAGGCATGTAAACGGTGACAAACCAAACTTAGTAACACCAACCAGACATGTTAAGGGTGGCAATCTCAAGCAAGTTACATTTTATGATGCCAACCCACATTTTACTAAATTTAGTAACACCACCAGACATGAAAATCATGAAAATCTAAAAATACATTTTAAAATACATTTTAAAAGCTTATTTATTCTAATTTATTCTAAAATAAAAACAAAAAAACGGCACACTTAATTTTTAAATTTCTTCGTAGACTTCATAGTTATATATATATTTTACAGTTTAGCATTGACATAAAGCCTCCCTTAAACTTGTGTAGAACAGAGAGGAAGCTTGCACGCTGAAGTTCACGAAGCGTTTTTTGTTTTGTTTTTAAACTTTACGCCCAACAGCTGGATAAGTTCAATTAGAACTATCCACGCTGAATTGGATTCATTTGTGTTACAAAACCACTTTAAAGGTACACGAAAAAAAAAAAATAGTTTTGCAATAAGAAAAAATATTTTTTTTCCCGTCGGATTTTGGGCGTCCCAGCATTGCAAGGTAGGGTGATCATCATGGTTTCGCCCATGTATTAGACAAAAAAGAAAACCTGAAATCTCCCCCCCCCCCTCCTCTTCACTCCCCCTACCTTAGACATATTATAGAATTTCCCCTCTTACAACCCCCAAAACTTAAACCACCACCTGCCATACAATCTTGGCAGCCTTTACTCAACACCCTTAAACAGATGCCTACTGTCACCCCAGTCCCACTTGAAAATATCCCCCCTTCCCCACACATAAGACCACACCCAATAACCCACCCAGAAAACCACCCTCTCCAACACAGTCACGATCCAAGACACCAACCGCCAACAGGGTAAAAAATATTTTAACAATCTATAAAGTCACGTAGTGCTCGTCATTTTCCCTTTGTTAGCTGGCGTGAAGTTGCAGAGAAAAATGAACGACTTTAAGGTGCTGGCACTGGGAAAGGTGACATAGACACCTCCTGCTTTATGTCGCCTTCTGACAATACACCTCTATCAGGCCGGTTGATTTAGTCGGTGCTTTCACCTAAATCACCGGAGAACAAACACAGTGAAATTTTATTGAGACGTCATTAAATTAGAATTTCAGATAGAAGAAAAACAACAGCGAGGTTTATGTTTGTTGTGCAGGGTGTTGTATGACCTGCTTGTTATTCTTCTATACCTGCTCTATAAACAGCTCTTTAAAACTAGAAGGAAGGGGGGAGAGGTGGAGACTCCCATGAAGGTTTGAGGTTAAGGGTAAAGGAGTATTGGACGGGTTGGGATAGTCGATGTTTATCTGCCAATGTATTTTAAAATATTTCTCGTTGTAGATCAGGTTTCGTTTTCTCTCTTTGTCTCTGTCCCTCTCTATTATAAATAAATAAATAAATAAATAAATATATATATATATATATATATATATATATATATATATATATATATATATATATATATATATATATATATATATATATATATATATATATATATATATATATATACACATATTTATATATATATATATATATATATATATATATATATATATATATATATATATATATATATATATATATATATATATATATATATATATATATATATATATATATATAATATGTCAATAAAACTATGACATTCCTCGTGTGGGTTGAATTTGGTAACATTTTTAAATTCGTGATATTTTGTTGGATGTTTGCATTTCGAATTAATTCATTTTTTGGCGAATCGCTTGGTTGAATAGAAACATTATTACTTTAATTAATGGAGCTTTAATTGTTGATAGTTCTTTTACAGACCTGTCTAGAGAAATATCAAGAATTTAGCACAAAAAAAAAAGACCAAGATGACCACATTCTCCCGTTAATGTTAGTCATCGCTTGAGATTATTGTAGTGCATGCCGTGCGCTTTGGCATGCTCGAGGTACGTTACAGATCTCAACAACAACTGTACTGCATGCAGCCTGAGAACAATAACTATCGTGATAGTAGCCTGTCAAGAAGAACTATCGTGATAGTTGCCTGTCAACAAGAACTATCCTGAGAGTAGCATGTCAACAATAACTATCATGATGTGATCAAGAACTGTACTAAGAGTAAATTTTCACTAAAGACTATCCTGAGAGTAGCCTGTCAACAAGAACTATCCTGAGTGTAGTTTGTCAACAAAAACTATCCTGAGTGTAGTTTGTCAGCAAAAACTATCCTGATGTGACCAAGAACTGTACTAAGAGTAATATTTCACTAAGGACTATCCTGAATGTAGTTTGTCAGCAAAAACTATCCCGAGTGTAGTTTGTCAGCAAAAACTATCCCGAGTGTAGTTTGTCAGCAAAAACTATCCAGATGTGACCAAGAACTGTACTAAGAGTAATATTTCACTAAGGACTATCCTGAGAGTAGCCTGTCAACAAGAACTATCCTGAATGTAGTGTGTCAGCAAAAACTTTCATGAGTGTAGTTTGTCAACAAGAACTATAATAATGTGACCAAGAACTGTACTAAGAGTAAATTTTCACTAAAGACTATCCCGAGTGTGGCTTCTCACTGAGACTTTTGGACAGTTTCAAGTCAGCTTTGGTAAGTACCAGCGTTAATAACTTCACATTCCTGTGGTGGGGGAAGGGGACGGATCCGTGATTGTAAAAAATGAGTCAAAAGTTATATGTTCACTCGTATCTGATAGATATTGTAAAACAAAATTATTATAACTACATTCTTAAATCTCAGACACAGACATAATTCTCCCTCGATTTTTCGATTCTTTTTTCAACTCAGCATTCAACAAAGACGCAAATCTAACGCGATTGTTAAAATTTGTTTTGGTTATGTTCAGTGGCGTCAGTCGGTCGGGTGTAACCCGGTGTGGCACCGAAAGTGCATATATATATAGGCATATATATATATAGGCATATATATATATATATATATATATATATATATATATATATATATATATATATATATATATATAAGCTCTGTGTATACACATGTGTATATGTATTTAAATATATATATATATTTTAATGCATTTTATCTTTTTAAGCTTTCGCATTTTGGGCTGAACATCGTTTGTTAGTTTGTTATTTTAAATAGAAAATGAGTAAGGTAGCAACCAAAATATTTTTTTTACAACGTTTGAATTTGACAATTTCGCTCTTAATTAAAAGACTTTTTAACTCTACTTAAACATTTATTTAACTTGAATGATCGTTTTATATATATATATATATATATATATATATATATATATATATATATATATATATATATATATATATATATATACATATATATATATATATATATATATATATATATATATATATATATATATATATATATATATATATATATATATATATATATATATATATATATTGTAATTTTTACCTTCGGGTGACCACTTAAATGGTGTCACTCCTAAATTGTGTCACGCGGTGCGGTCCGCATCCCCCTCTGGTTATGCTATTAGCAAATCACTGTAGATATGTATATTTGAGAATGGGGCATGCCGACATGCTAGAATCCTTTCATAAATGATTTTTTTTTAAATGTTAAGGGTAATTTTTGTACAATTTTTTCCCCCGCATAAGTTCAACTAATTTTAATTGTATTTCTTAACTCGTACCCTAATATAAGAACATGCTTTTCATTTAGTAAATGTTCCACATTTCAAATTAAATTAACCGAGTTCAATTGTTAGACAACCTATCGATGGTGGAAGGAAATATTATTATTTATACTTTGACTAAATTGGCGGGAGCTGGGAAACATTGACAACGTGGAGAAGAAAAAACAAACGCAATGTTATTTTACTTTTTCGTATGCAATTATTTATTCTCATTTCATTCCTTACACTGATGTTAAAAGGTAATTTATAAGCTAATAAAATAGTATAGCAAACCAACATTATTTGGCATAAGATTGAAATATAAAAACTCACATCAATTTAATTATTTAGTGTATTTTATGTTTTTTTTAATTCTTTTTTTATGTGAATAGAATTTTTTAAATGATAAATGCCAAGTCCATCATTAACAGTTTTTATATGACACAGTTTGTTTTAACTAGATTTAACTTTAAACACCAGATATCAATAAAATATTCAAGATGCGTCGCAGTGCATTTTCAATTTCTAACAGAGCCAAGCATGTTCCTTTGACCTTTATGTTATTCCAATCTTTATTCATTAAGCATGATCTCGGTGAAGAGGATAGCAAACAGAATAGCAGTGCCAACAATATTAGTTCCTGTGGATTATTTAAAAATATTTAAATTATAATGTGTTTCTAGAAATATGGTAAAAATTCACTCACTCGTGGACACTCTAGGACACGGCTAGAGGATAACACCCCCGACCCCCGTCAGGGAGGGAGGGAGGGAGGGAGGGAGGGAGGGAGGGAGGGAGGGAGGGAGGGAGGGAGGGAGGGAGGGAGGGAGGGAGGGAGGGAGGGAGGGAGGGAGGGAGGGAGGGAGGGAGGGAGGGAGGGAGGGAGGGAGGGAGGGAGGGAGGGAGGGAGGGAGGGAGGGAGGGAGGGAGGGAGGGAGGGAGGGAGGGAGGGAGGGAGGGAGGGAGGGAGGGAGGGAGGGAGGGAGGGAGGGAGGGAGGGAGGGAGGGAGGGAGGGAGGGAGGAAGAAAATATATACTCTCTGTACGACCGATAACCTGCGAGACGTTGAATATTTCCGTTTGTAGATGCTTTTTTTGGTCGAGGCTTCGGTACACCGTAATATCCAAAAATAGGTTTATTTCTTGGAGGATGAACGTAGATAGGATCCCAGTTATCTGTTGTATATGTTATAAATAATTACTATTTTAAGTACATATCAGACACACATTATAATGATATATATATGTGACGAGCGAACATTTATCCTGCCGACAACGCCAATTGTAACGAGCCAACAGTTACCATGCTCGCAACGCCACATGTAATGAGACCTAATTGCCTGTAGTGCCACGTGTTAACGAGTTTAACCACTCATTCTAGACAACATTGACCACAGTATAGATACTCAAGATGCAGGTTCGCTATTGATCCTTTATTACATGAATCAAGAAATGCTTCATAATAACACAATAAATCAACAGGAATGCTTCTCAATAATAGTCTGAATCAACTGACCCCTAACAGTCCTTCACTAGGCTTTATATAACTGAATCCACATGTCTATAATCCTCCTTAACACAATACGGCTAACCCGTTCTATAACCGACTTGACATAGTCACACAGACTGACTGATCTAAGCGAGCGATGAAGATGGAAGAGAGCTCGCTGAAACGGGAAGAGAGAGAGCGAGTCCTGCTGTCCCCTCCTATTTATGCCTTGTATCCGTACTCGTCTCCGTACTTGCATTCCTCCGTAATCGATACTTGTACTCGATCTCCGACCACCAGTTGCGTAGTTCAAACGTACAGACCGTAAAATAACATCTGCGTCCTATCCATCAAAGTTGACAGGCCGTCTGAATACCGTTTCCCAAAATAGCACGCGCCGGCTTTGAGGTTGTTATCAGCCCGACCCAATAAGCCACCTGTTATCGGTTGCATCAGACCAACACTGTGTCTCGGCTTCTCGTTCGTTATCATTTGTAACTGGTAGTTAGGCCTACCCCAGTTACATCCACCCCTGCTTTTTTTGTGTGTTTTCAACCACAAACAACGCCTGGCAGGTGCACTCCTCCAAAGTCAATCGCACAGTCGTAAAAAAAAAATCTATTGTTCCACTCACTGTCCACGACGTTCCATTCGTATACGATTGACAGTTCTACCTATTTCACATATCAACTGTGTCTACATCATCTTCCTGAGACACAAAACAGTTCTAGAATTCACATCCACCCTTTCCATTTGGTGCCTTCACCAGTTCACTTCTATAGCTCTTTGAACAGTCTGTTTTCATACCAGCGCGACCATGAAAGAATTGATGGTTGCTGACAAAAAATTTCGTATTCCTTCTGTTCCTTAAACTTCTCCGCGGACCACTTATCTGATGGTCTACTGTCTCTCTGCTTCTGGAGGGACCGGGATCCTCATTGTTGCCGGTATCCTCCCCTTGCGTATCGCTGTTGTTCTGTTGATGGTGATATGGTTCCGGAATGGGTATGTGAATTTCCGTTATAACTTCCGGTTCCCTAATTGTCTTGGGTTTCTCTGTGTGTAACTGCTCTTCTTGCCTATTCCAATATTTCTTTAATTGAGCAATATTCGCCCACCGATCCGGTTTGGCGTGATCGATGGGTCTTATCTTAAAGGGGCCACCTGCTGCTTTAGGCATCTCCACGACTTGCCATATCTCCTGTCCCCAGAGATCGTGGATTTTGTTTCTGCCTAACGGGTGGCTACGCAGTAATACCCTGTCATTCAGTTTGAGTGGCGGGTCCTTCGTCTGTATCGGCGGTTCCCTTCGCCGAGATTCATGTTCTAGTCTTTCCTGTACTACCCTGTACATTTCTCTAATTCTTCTCATATGTTCATTCACATATTCCAGTGCGGTGTATGAGCCAGTCATACTCTCCCTTTTTCCTAGGAACAAATCAAGAGGGAGTCGAGCCTCTCGTCCGAACAGCAACATGTATGGCGAAAAGCCGGTTGTGGCATGTGGTGTGCAGTTGTATAGATATACCAACTCTGGGAGAAAATCAGGCCAACGTTTTTTCTGTTCAGGTTCTAGCGTACGCAGCAAATCATGCATGCTGCGGTTGAACCGTTCACACTGTCCGTTTCCTTTCGGATTAAATGTGGTTGTTCTAGATTTGTTGATCCCGTAGTGGTTGCACAGTTGGTTAATTACTTCTGACTCAAAGGCCCTTCCTTGGTCAGAGTGTAATTGTCTTGGTATGCCATATTTGATGAACCAATGTTCTAATAATACCTTTGCCACTGTTTTGGCAGTCTGATCTCGTGTGGGCACCGCCACCGTCCATTTGGTGAATACATCAGTCATTACCAACACATGTTCCGTCCCATCCGATGATTGCTCCAACGACGTAAAGTCCATAGCCACAATCTCTAGTGGTTTTGTCGCTAGTAGGTGTCCTGATGGCTGTCTCATTTTGCCAACTGGCATTTTCGCATGCTGACACCTCACACAAGCCTCACAATGGCGTTTGACCTCCATTTCCATATTGGGCCAGTAACACCTCCGTCGTAATATTTTGTGGGTTCTGTCCTGACCCTGGTGTCCTGCCCTGTCATGTGCCAACCTTAGCACTTCTCCTCGTAATTGTCCCGGCACCACCACCTGGTGTATTGTGCCATCAATTTGGTCATGAATTCTCCGCATGAGAACACCATCCTTTATACTAAGACGGTTCCACTGACTCAGTATTTTCTTTGTTTCTCGACCAAATTGTTCTCTTTCCCTCCTTCCTGGGAATTTTTGTTCCTGGACGTGTTTCAATAGCGGTTGTAAGCCACTATCCGTTCTCTGGGCATCTCTTATCTTTTGGTGATTAAGGCAATTAAAATCACTACTGTCCATATGTTCGGGTTCCGTGGATATGTGCTCCACCCCGGTCTGCCCGTTTTGCATCACTTGTACCCCATGAGGGATATCTGTTGACGCTCTGACCTCACATATTCCTGTCAGTGTTTCTTCCTCATCACCCGGTCTCTCGTAAGGATTCCTTGATAAGGCGTCCGCATTGCCATTGGACCGCCCCGGGCGATGTTTTCTCTCTAGGTCAACGAGTGCCAATTCTGCTGCCCATCGCTGTTCGATGGATCCCAGCCTTGCTGTAATTTGAAGTTCTTTTTCAATATCTGATAATTTTTCTTCAAGTCTTGTTTGAGACTCTTTCATTCCTTCTAGTTTGCCAACACTGTTCTGTTGTCTAATATTTTTATTTACTTCTTCCGATAACAGACACTTTAAAGATGAACATTTCTCCTGTGCTTTTGATTTGCATGAACTTTTCCTATCCAGTTTCCTGGTTAGACTTTGAATTCCTTTATTAAGTCTACCAATTTTCTTCTTATCATCATTTTTCTCTACCAACAAATTGTTCACTTGACACTTTTCAACATTCAAGTTCATTTCACAGTTCATTTTTTCCATTAGTTGTGTTTTACCTTTCTTTTTCTCCTTACTGTGTTTCTGTGTCATTTTGTTTACCAAGTCCTTACCTCGCCGCTCTGTAGCCTTGACCTGCCTTACAGAGGGCGATCGTTTCACCGGACAGTACCGTGCCATATGTCCGGGTTGTGAACAAGACAAACAAATTGGTCGACCGTCTGCCGTCCATTGGAGTGATGGCTTGGCAGGACGCGGCCGTCCAACCCGTCCCTGTTTTGTCCCGTTCTTTTCCTGATTCTCAGCTGTTGACCTGCTTTCCAACCACTTCAAGCGTTGGTCAACCTTCTCTAGGTGGGCCAACAGTTGAGCCATCATGGTCTCCATCGTGTCGGCCCCTGTGGGTGGGGATTGTCTCTGTTCAGGCACAGAGACTTTGTCCACCGAACAGTTCGATTGGTCCTCATCCTCGGACCTGCGGATCGCTGAGTTCCTGACCTGAAGGAAGGTCAACTGCTGGTCTCTGTGGACCTCCTCTTTCAACTCTCTCCTTAAGATCGGGGTTGCTAGCCCCTCGATGAAATGGTCCCTCAGTAGGCGTACATCAATGTCCGGTGATTTGCCCTTTACCAAATCAAAGGCCCTGTTCATCCTGTGTGAGTACTCCATCACACTCTCCGCCATTCTCTGCTTTAAGCCCACGAATCCCGATAGCAGTTGCACTCCCGACCGTCTCTCCCCAAAGGTCTCCATAATCAGATCCAGCACCTTATCTGGATCTGATTGGACGGTCCTATCGTGGCACTTAACCTCTGCCCTAACCGTTTCACCTATACTGCCCATCAGCAGTCTTAATCTTTCCTCTGGTGACATATGTCTCGAGGCCCAGGCCGCTTTGACCTCTTCACTGAACCTGTTGGTTAAAGTTGGGTCTCCGTCCCCGTAAAATTTGTTAATATGGGACTCTCTGGGTAGGACCACTATATGGGTCTGCTTCTCGTCCAGAGTAGACATTTTCTTCCTTAAGTACTAAAAAAAAGAGTTCTTTCTTACCGTGTGTGTATGAAAAATTTTTCCTCGTTCCTCAATTTTCACAGTTCCTGAATGTCCGAATTCACACACACACTAAACACAGTTATGCACAAGGTTGACTATAGGTGCCTTAAACGGCAAGTCTAGTTGAATTCATCCTGATCGCAGCGCCAATTGTGACGAGCGAACATTCACCCTGCTCGCAGCGCCAATTGTGACGAGCGAACATTTATCCTGCCGACAACGCCAATTGTAACGAGCCAACAGTTACCATGCTCGCAACGCCACATGTAATGAGACCTAATTGCCTGTAGTGCCACGTGTTAACGAGTTTAACCACTCATTCTAGACAACATTGACCACAGTATAGATACTCAAGATGCAGGTTCGCTATTGATCCTTTATTACATGAATCAAGAAATGCTTCATAATAACACAATAAATCAACAGGAATGCTTCTCAATAATAGTCTGAATCAACTGACCCCTAACAGTCCTTCACTAGGCTTTATATAACTGAATCCACATGTCTATAATCCTCCTTAACACAATACGGCTAACCCGTTCTATAACCGACTTGACATAGTCACACAGACTGACTGATCTAAGCGAGCGATGAAGATGGAAGAGAGCTCGCTGAAACGGGAAGAGAGAGAGCGAGTCCTGCTGTCCCCTCCTATTTATGCCTTGTATCCGTACTCGTCTCCGTACTTGCATTCCTCCGTAATCGATACTTGTACTCGATCTCCGACCACCAGTTGCGTAGTTCAAACGTACAGACCGTAAAATAACATCTGCGTCCTATCCATCAAAGTTGACAGGCCGTCTGAATACCGTTTCCCAAAATAGCACGCGCCGGCTTTGAGGTTGTTATCAGCCCGACCCAATAAGCCACCTGTTATCGGTTGCATCAGACCAACACTGTGTCTCGGCTTCTCGTTCGTTATCATTTGTAACTGGTAGTTAGGCCTACCCCAGTTACATATATATATATATATATATATATATATATATATATATATATATATATATATATATATATATATATATATATATATATATATATATATATATATATATATATATATATATATATATATATATATATATATATATATATATATATATATATTTATATATATATATATATATATATTTGTATGTGTGTGTGTGTTTCTGCATGACATAAGCCTGCGATCTTTCAATAAGTTGGGATGACATTTCGGAATGCTTATGTTACGCATCTCTACCACTGGTAAATATTACGCAATATCCGATTTCTTTTTGGATGGTTCGTGACTGAAGAGTTATATGAAAAGTTTTTCGTTGACTCAAAATCTAATGTCTATGGTTAAATATAAATACAAAGACCTTCTGAAACTAGTAGAACTTTTAATCAATCATAAACCTTCCAAAAAGCAAACAAGTCTAAATAATAAATACAATCCAAATCTATACAATAATTTTAAACTTAACTTACAATTTCATGGAAATCACTAACACTTCTTTCTACTATTAACACTGGATAAAATATCTAACTAACACAACCTATACTATGAAAAACCAAATACTGAGTACTAGTGGAATATAAGTAAATTACAGCCCAACACAACACGATGCTATGAGCCATGGGTTCTATCAGGGTGTCTTGTGCGCATCGTGTTTGGAAAATTCCTCCTTTTTATAATACCCTAAAATTATGGGATGTTGACAACAATGCTAAGGACCATTGGGGATGGAGCCAAAACACGAGTAACACGAACAAAGTTGTGAATACTATCACATGAGTCTGGTGGAAAATTTCTTAGTTTAAACAACAAATAGCTCAAGGCCATTTACAATATTAATAAAATTAACCTATTAAAGAAGACCTAAGTAAGTCACACTGTGATTCATCCACCATCTGTCTATTCCCTGTTTATTGTAAACGTAAAAAAATTATACTGTCTCTGTGTGTGTGTGAGAGAGAGTGCCTTTGTCTGTTGGTGGACGAAAACTCTCATGTAACTATTAGGAATATAATTCAATTCTGAATAATCAGAGGAATTAGCCATGATTCGATTAACAACAAAAATATTTTTAATGGGTTGTTTTAAAAATCTTTTCAAAAATAAATAATTAGACTACATCAGATTCTAAATAATGTTACTTCCCCTTAGTTTCAAACCGTTTAAAAACTTTATTATCTACCCCTAACAGCCTTAACTAGATCTAACGGCTCTATAATATTGTAAACATTCTCGTGAACCACAGCTCAGCAGACAGTTAGTTTCATCGCGTCACCCGTTCTCTTATTGAATTTAGTATTCTATCGAGTGTTTTAATTTTGTTATCTTCTCTTAGATTTGAAACCGTTTAGTTAACTTTTAATGACTAATCAAACGTCTAACTAAATTAAAAAATAAAGGACTTATATTTTCATCGAAGTGGTAGGTATCTGCAAAGTTTGAACAAAATCGCTGCATAAGAAGAGGTCAAACAAATAGTAAAAGTAGAGTTATAATTACCTGGTTTGATTGAACTATTGAACACATTACTGATTGCCCAATAGGAAAGGTTCATTGGAGAAGCAGGCCATATATTTGGCCATTCTCCCTCTACGTTTAGTTGTCCTTTTACAACGACCCTATATACAGCGCGTCGAAAGGGGTAATAGGAGAAACTGAGAGGATTTTCACCGGTGCAGTTGCAAGCTGTATTGCTGATGTAACATGGCGTGCAGGGGAACAATGCAGCGATATCACACAACTAAAAAAAAAATTAAAATACAATGATAATTCTGGATAAATACCTGCCCCAATTATAGCGGAAATTAATATCTGGACCTTCTATAACGTGACATATCTGTACAATCTATAGCCTGACATTGATATCTATGCAATGTATATCCTGACATTAATATTTGTACCATCTATAACCTAGCTTTAATATCTGTGCAATGTATAGCCTGACATCAATATCTGTACAGTCTATAGCCTGGCATCAATCTCTGTACAGTCTATATCCTGACATCAATATCTGTACAGTCTATATCCTGACATCAATATCTGTACAATCTATATCCTGACATCAATATCTGTACAATCTATATCCTGACATCAATATCTGTACAATCTATATCCTGACATCAATATCTGTAACTTCTATATCCATCCTGACATCAATATCTGTACAATCTATAGCCTGACATCAGTATTTGTATCATCTATAACATCAATATCTGTATTATATAACTTTTTGTACCCTACATTTGACATCTACACCCTGCATTATATTTAGCATTTTGTGCAGTACGTCACACACCAATACCATGATTATATTCAACCTTTTATGCCTTACATCAGACAATAATATCAAACAATCTACTTACACAAGTATCAACTCTCTTCATTCATTGACACCTCACACCCATACCATTCACTGCCAAGACACAAATAAGCCTACTTGTAAGCCACTATTCACGAACACCGTGCACCCGTTTACATTAACAAATTACATGTTAATAATATAATTGTATTATAATATTTATACTTACAGGAAAAAACTCCTGCTCTTCTTCATTATAAGATTCTACCATTATAAACACGCATATCTCTGGGTCTGGGAAAAAATTTTCCGATGTCACACTTCCAATAATCTTTCCGGTGTAGCGGCAATGCGGAGCTTCACATTCTCTTTCCCAACCATCTATTTTTGGTGCAAATTTTGGCATTTGAACACCTACTAATAAAAAATATATAATATTCCGAATAATTTCAAATGAGATGGATACGTCATACTTTTAAAACGTTTTATAAACTTCTAGCGTACCCGTTTCTCATTGCTGCTATTTAGTCATACACACCAAATTAAGCCAACATTACTAGATGATCTCATCAATGCACAGATTTAGTCATGGACGACAAATTAAACCAACGTTATTAGATGATCTCATGCCATTGAAATCGGTAGTTTTAGACGTTAGATGTGTTCGGAAAACTATGTAATATTTAACAACCAGGGTTGTTGCAGGGCGCCGTCGGATGCCGCTGATTATAATATTAACCCTAAGCAGTTTAATAAAAAAATAATCCATTTTATCCACTATACAGGACGATCAAATAGCGGACTTCAAGTGCTAAGATAGTCAATGACATGATAGCGACCTGTAGGTAATAGTTCCAATTTGCTTTTATAACTAAATACGTCTACGTCAACAATCTGCTGATACGCCTACGCCTACGCCCTTGCCTAACCCTAAGCTTACGCCTACGTCTAATATACATTATCTGATTCTTAATTACTAACACCAAAGAGAATATGCTCATTACCTGAGATCTGAGTTTTAAGGTATAAAGTGTAACCCTTGAGGTCTAATATCTAATGTGTAATGCGGTGTGTGGTGTCTAATGTATAATGTCTAAAATCTTTGCCTGTATATTTTTATGGGTAGATGTACGTAGACTCCTAGATGTACGTCTTTATCTGTCTAACGTATAGCGTGAAACAACCAGCGTATAACGTATAATGTGTAATGTATAGATTTATTAATAATCACTATACAATACAGTATTATCATATAACATTAGTTCTTGTGATCAAACCACCAACATGTTGGCACTAACCAGAGAGGCCAACATTGCACAGAAAGAGCATCAACAATACATTGGTAACATCCATCCTACCACGTCTTGGATGCAAATGCTGAAAAGAAGCAATTTCATTGTTTAAAAACAACTAAGTCTTTTAAAATATATTAAAATTTCTAACGTAACTTTTATTTTTAAAAAAGTTTTTTAAACGAATTAGATATTCACAGGTTATTTTTATTTTAAAATAATTATTTAAAAAATTATCATGTAAATGGAAAATGCGTTTATAGCATAATACAAAACTTCCCACACAGAGAAATTCTACAAATCAACTGATCTGGAAAATATAATTACTGAATCAGACGAGTAATAATGAGCCTGAATTCGACAAAGCTAATATATTGTTATTGACTCGACAAAAACGTTTCGAAAAACTTAGTCAAATAATAGACCAAGGGATTAATAATGAAAGAGATATCTCACACGATCTATGTTGAGCTTTGAAAATGTGTGATAACTTAACTACTGCATCATTAAAATTCAAAAGCGTTTATTTTAAAGTCAGACGTTTAGAATTTCCATAACGGCATGTCATGTATTAACAAATAAAGTACTAACGACTATTTCCTTGAAACGGAGTACAAAATGTTTTTGTCTTCGTTTCTTTACTTTCAAGACCTTATAAGGATTTTTTAAAAAACGCTTAGCTGATTAAGTAAATTTTATAGCTTCACTTCGACGCGTTGGACTATGTTGTTGACACTCATAATTTATATCCCACTGTATATACTGTAAAATGTATCAGCAATGTCATGGATAGAGGCTTTAATAAAAACAGTTTTATACAGACACCTACCACAAGATAAGCGTATTCGTTAATCAACAGTTTAATGAAGACAATGACCGCAAGATTCATTAACTTCATTAACCAACCATAAGGTATAATGCGGAAAAAAGACACGTGTCCTTATCTTTCAAGTTCTGTTTTTTTTAACTACTCATCAATTACTATTCTGTCATTATTAATTATTTTGTTAATGGACTTTACCGAGCTGACAAGACTCATTTGATCGTTGTTGCTGACATGGTTTAAAAAAATTGATTTTGCAATCTAAATAACCGTAAAATATTTGTATAAAATCTCACGCCTTATAATGATTCAAAAATTCAATATTTTTATAATCAACGTTAATGAAGTTGCAGATCTGGAGAACTTTAAAATACTTTTTTTGAGTTTAAGGCTACATTTCTAATTATTTTTATCAAGCCTAAGTTATAACCCGGAATTTCATTTTCGTAAGACAAATCTTGATTGGCTTTACTTTAAAGGATCTCAGATCAACACTCTCAAAACGCCACTCCATAAAAATCGTGTGGTAATTTGAGTCAAAACTTCGTCGATACAATTTTTAAATTAAAAGTTATTTTTAACCACATGACCTAGTTCAGCCATGTTTGTTGTCATTTTAAGTGATAAAATGTACATAAACAAAATGTATTTGGTTTCTTTTAAATTTCATTTAGTAACGTAAAATTATCAAAAACACCAAATACACGCGAACTTTAGTAAAGTCCAACAAACATCAAACAGTCAAATTTTTATAAACATAATAACTTTTATAACATCTAACATGATTTTAAAAATAATTAATGGACATTTCAAATTATTTTGAGACTATTCTCGGTTAGATCCATTATCGAAAATACTAAGACGTCAAATACATCCAATATTTATTAAAGTCCGACAAAAAAAACCCACAGTTTTATGACCAATTAGTAAACCTAAGTCTAGCATCTGTTATTATTCGGGTAGAGTATTGAATTAAAAAAACAGTAAAACAATTACAAAATCTGTAAGAGAGTTCCGGAATCCACCGGAAGTACTGTAAACCATACTTTATTTGGCGCAATATTTTTTTGTTGATACAGAGCCTTTAAAATTGGGCTAGATTGATTTTAATTGCTTGTTGAATACTGCTGCACTAATAGTTTTGTAGTAAACTATGCTAGTAAACATTGTTCTAAACATTTTACTATTTTTGTTCTCTTTTTCAATAAGTTAGCTAGATCTAATGTTCATTGATTGTACCAAATCATCTGAAAATTAAAATCATTAAATGAATTATAATATTTTACTTCAGTTTTGATAAATTTTAGATGTACTTATTTAAATTTACTATTATATTTACTCCTGTTTCTTTATGTCGATCAAACTTAAGTTGGAAAAAAAAACCATTATTTTTTTATTTTTTAATGGACAACTAAACCATGGTTTACCGTAACTTATGCTTACGAAACTCAACAAACATTAACGGATACATTCCGACGCTAAACTAAGGTTTTACCACCATACTAATTTTAATTACACAGTGCATACATTTTAAACATATTTAATGGGCCTCTCGAATAATTTCGAGACTACTCTCGATAGGGTGCATTTTATGTAGACTAGGAGGAAGGGTGTAAGTTGGAAAAAAATTATCATTAGAATACCCCTTCCCACGGACACTTATCAAAATTATTCTCACGTTAATTGAGTTTATATTTAAAGTATTAGCCATCTCGACCCTTATTCACAGGCATCGGTTTTAAATATGTGTACATATGCATACCTGATGTCTTACGAGTTACTTGTAAATATATCGTTTTAATTTAACTTTGCATCGCGATTGAAGTTTTTAAATACGTAACCTTTTCCTTGTGAAACGTATTTCTAAAGTGCAGAATGGTGTAGGTTTGGGAATTACCATTTTTATATTGAATATGCAAAGTTTTTGTGCGATGCAATGAAGGTAACTTCATGCAAGCCAGTTTTTACTAAGCCCTATACAAAATTAATGATGACTGGGAAGATTTTTCTTAGCTTTTTCTTGTCTCTCTCTCACTTTTTTCTCTCGCCCATAGAGAGAGTGACACCAGAAAAAAATAATTTGTAAACAAATATTCATTTGACGGTGCAAATTTGCATAAGGGGATATGCTAAGTGTATTTCTTTTTTCTACAATATAAGATCTATAGCCGTTTCAATATTTTTTTTCCGTGTTGGTACATGAAAGCTAGTATTAAACAGCAAAAAATAAAGGGTTAAAAACATTTTCAATTGTCATGGAAACTCGAAAAAAACCTCCGCCATTTTTTTGGCATTTTAAAACGCTAGGGCTTTTTACCTTCTCGTATATACTAAGTAGCCTATAGAGAAAGTCTTGTAATCGTGTCAAAAAAAAATCGAGATTTTTGCAAATCTCGACGTTTTACAGCTGCCTGAGTTGGAAAAACATAGTTTTGCAATCTTGTCCGTATGTCTTTGTGTGTGTATGTGTGTGTGGATATGTGGATGTGTGGATGTGTGTCTCTGTGTGTGTGTGTGTGTGTCTGTAAACACTATATTTCGAGTACCGCTACAGCTAGGTTGATGAAATTTCATATATAAGTATTGTATCAAAATCGTAGATTCGTATCAACCTTTGAGTGATTTCCGATAATCGGAAGTGGAATTTTTCTACTTTGATTTTTTTAAAAGCCTATAACTTGAGTACTATTTCAAAGTAAAATAATAATTTTTCTGCCTTCGGTCAAACTTTGAGTAATCTCCGTTGACCGGAAGTAGTTATTTACACTAATTCCTGTTTCTAAAAATGCGAATGTGAATTTATAAAGTACTAATAATATTCCACACTATTATGCACATTTTATTCGGCGTTTACTTAGTGTGCAATTCTTCTCCTACGAGATTCTATTCTATTTTTAAAATTTTAAGTATTTAGAATGGATTAAAAATTATGTCTATATCCCGAGTAGCCATTTCCTGTTGTTTTATATAAGAATATTCGAGAAAGTTTAGGGGAGACCTTTATAAAGCATTATTTATCGCGGTATTATATGCAAATTTTTCGAGTTTATTTAGAGAACAATTGTTACTTTCCTGTATTCGGAGTATAATGGAGGTATTCTCATAAATGTTGACGTTTTATACATCCCCAAGTCGGAAAAAACTTAGGTGGGTAATCTTTTCCGTATGTCTTTCTGTCAGTCGGTTTATACTTGTATATGATAACTTGAGTACTGTCTCAGTTGGGTTGACGAAATTTCTTATATAGATCTAAGTATTATATCAAATTTGTAGTAATTTGAAGTATCATTTATTCTATTTCCGGTTTCTCGAAAAACTGTAGCTTGATTACTGTTTCAGCTACTTAGATTCTCTACGCGAAATTTCAAATATTAGTAAAATAATAATATATTTAATTTCGTCTCTCACAATTTTAAACAACTTTTTACAATAGATTAATGATTAATGCATTGATTTCAGGCTGCGCGGACCTTTGACCACAGGTGCTTTGACCATAGGGGGTTTGACCATAGGGGGTTTGACCACAGTGGAGCTTTGACCATAGGGGCTTTGACCATAGGGGGTTTGACCACAGCGGGCCTTTGACCATAGCGGTGCTTTGACCATAGGGGGTTTGATCATAGGGGGTTTGACCACATGTGTTTTACAGCAAAGTCTTTGATCACAGGTGGTCTATCAACGGGTGTTTGATCGATTTCAGCAACATAGCACACAGCGTTTAATAGGAATAGAAAAAATAACCCATTAATCATATCACACACCATAGGTAACAAATAAAATGTATAGGCTTGGCTTGAAGTGTCAGTTATTACAATTCTCAAGAAACCTTTTCCTCAGTCAAATTTTGCAACGTGTATTTGGTGTCCGTCCACAGATAATACTAACGATGTTCATCTATAGGCGGTTATAAGCTGGATGTAGTATTGTTTTCTGTATCACTAGCAGGTTTACCTCATGGTGTCACCCCACCCCCCCCCCCCTGTCGGGATTTGTCAATAAAAAAGACTTTTTAACTCTAATTAAACATTTAACTAGAATGGTCGCTTTTTTCTATATATGTATATATATTATTTTACCTTGGTGTCACCCCCTAAATTGTGTCACCCGGTGCGGTCCGCATCCCCCGCACCCCCTCGCGACGCCTCTGGTTATGCTATTAACAAATCCCTATATTTGAGAATGAGGCATGATGACATAGTAGAATCCTTTCATAAGGGATTTTTAAAAAAAAAATATTAAGGATAATTTTTTTACAACTTTTTTCCCGCATAAGTTCACAAACTAATTTTAAATATTTCTTACATAACTTGTACCCTAATATAAGAACATGCTTTTCATTTAGTAAATATTCCACATTTCGAATTAAATTAACCGAGTTCAATTGTTAGACAATCTATCGATGGTGGAAGGAAATATTATTTATACTTTGACTTAATTGGCGGGAGCTGGGAAACATTGACAACGTGGAGAAGAAAAAACAAACGCAATGTTATTTTACTTTTTTCATATGCAATTATTTATTCTCATTTCTTTACTTAAACTGATGTTAAAAGTTAATTTATATACTAATAAAATAGTATAGCAAACCAACATTATTTGACAAAAGATTGAAATATAAAGAGAGTTTACACGTTTAGAAAGATCATATCATTTTAATTATTTAGTGTTTTTCTTTTTTTTTAAATTTTTTTTTTTTTTTGTGATTTGAATTTTTTAAATGGTAAATGCCAAGTCCAACATTAACAGTTTTAAATGATGCCGTTTTGTTTTAACTAGATTTAACTTTAAACACCAGATATAAATAAAATATTCAAGATGCGTCGCAGTGCATTTTCAATTTC